GTGTGTGGGTGCGAGCACCGTGCAGACCACGGCACGCAGCCTGTCAGCATGGTGGTGTGGGTGCGAGCCACGTGCAGGGACCACGGCACGCAGCCTGTCAGCATGGTGGTGTGGGTGCGAGCCACTGTGCAGGGACACGGCACACAGCCTGTCAGCATGGTGGTGTGGTGGGAGCCACCGTGCAGGGACCACGGCACCAGCCTGTCAGCATGGTGTGTGGTGCGAGCCACCGTGCAGGGACCACGGCACAGCTGTCAGCATGGTGGTGTGGGTGCGAGCCACCGTGCAGGGACCACGGCACACAGCCTGTCAGCATGGTGGTGTGGGTGCGAGCCACCGTGCAGGGACCACGGCACGCAGCCTGTCAGCATGGTGGTGTGGGTGCGAGCCACTATGCAGGGACCATGGCATGCAGCCTGTCAGTGTGGTGGTGTGGGTGGGAGCCACCGTGCAGGGACCACGGCACACAGCCTGTCAGTATGGTGGTGTGGGTGCGAGCCACCGTGCAGGGACCACGGCATGCAGCCTGTCAGTGTGGTGGTGTGGGTGCGAGCCACCGTGCAGGGACCACGGCACGCAGCTGTCAGCATGGTGGTGTGGGTGCGAGCCACCGTGCAGGGACCGTGGAATGCAGTCAGATGAAATATGATTCATTTAAATTGTTTTATCAAATACTCTGAGACTACAAAACAAAATTGTAGGGAACATAGAGAATAAAATACCAGACACTAAAGAGAATTATTTCAAATTACAGCAGTCCATATATCAGAACCTGACAAAAGGGTTAATCTTGGAAAAGACTTTAACAATGTCATAGATTTTTTTTAAAGGCTATTTTATGACTGTCTCAAACTTTTTACCATATTTAATATGAATTTGTACCATAAATCATTTAGCCAAGATGTAGAGCATTAATTAACATTTTCCACTGAGATAACTTTCTAGAATGCATGTATCTTTAAGGTGGTACTCTATGTGATTGTAAATTACTTCAGGGTAAATCAAAACAGGAGAAAATGTATGAGATAAACAGTGGAAACACAACCAGGGGCGTTCTCCTACCACTTTGCTGAAGGAGCTGAGAGAAGAAATGTCTGCTAATCCCACAGGTAGTTTCAGGTTAAGCGAAACTTTGGGTTAAAAGTTGGAGACAGTCAGACTAGAGGACAAATCCTGATTCTGTCTCACTGTGTGACTTTGGAGAAGTTATTTGGTTCCTTGCATCTGAGCCTCAGTTTCCCCATCAGTTAAATGACCATAATTTCTTCTTAACAGAAAACTGTTATAAGGATTAAATGAGACCAAGTATC